CTTGACAATTAACACAAGCAAATTAATGCACCGGCACAGATGCTACAGCAACCAGCCCCTCTGCAGGGCAGGAAGCAGCTGCTGCACTCTCCTCCTGACATTTGTCAGGACTGCAGCCTTGGAGAACTGGGTCAGACAACAGCACAGACAAACTGCACCTGCTCTCGCAGAGAGGCGTCCCTGTAAGCAACGTCCGACAACAACGTCACCAAGCAGAAGCTGAAGTTTTCTGCCACTGGAAGCAAACCTGCAAAGTGACAGAGAGAAAAATCAGCCACTCCTTAGAGAGAACCAACACAGAAAGAGCAAATTATATCAAAACAAGAAGATATATGTGACTGCCATCTCACACAGTTCTGAGATAAGACTGTAGAAAAATACAGTGTTGCACACAAAATCTAAAAGCACTCTGACCACCATAATTTCAGCCTGAAACATTGGGAAAAAAATCATAATAATTAAACTTTCCCAAGCTCTCAAGTAACTTAAAAAAAATTTGAATGATATAATACTATATATGCGTTCTTATATTAATTCTAAGAGACATTAAGGGAGCAAGAAATGAAGTGCCTGAAATAGCAGCTAAGCATCAAAGCTAAAAGCAGAGTGTATAGATCTCAGATTCCACTCTCCTCTAACCACTACACAATCTTCTCTAACTTAATACAAAATATATTGAACACAGAACTATTTGGAAAGTTCCATCTACCAAAAAGTGGTGAAGCAGGAAAACAGGGAGCTATTCAACTTCCTCTTTGCTTCTACAGAAAATGAGTATTAAAGGCTGTCGAGCCAGGAGCTAAGAACCCAGCAGGACCTCTCCCCTCCCAGGTACTGTGGCCTGAACAACCTTTGCTATTTCTATCTCCTGGCTGGCATTTCATAAGGAAGATCAGAAAATCCAAACATCACCTCTGCCTTTCCGGGCATTGCTTTCCTCTATCCACTGGACTTTGGGAAGACCCTTCAGGAGCCGGAGCAGGTACGGAACCACATTGTCCTTGTGCTGAAGAAGAAAAGGTTCTATTTGAAATGGAGAAGAAAAGCTGACCCATGTAATCTCCAGATGGTTTAGATATATGGAAAGAATCCATTAACACACTCAGAACTTGCTTCCCATGATCACTCCACAGGCTTCTTGAATCTTGCAAAACTGATTTCAAAACAGGCAAATGAAAAGTGACCCAATTCAGTGCCTTAAATCCAAGGCTTTCATTCCAGGCAACAGTTCATTCTCTGTAAAAAGTTGCAGAAAAATGTTCCAGAACCTCAATGCATCTACTCCCAATTTATTAACTGACAGCAAGGTCCCAAAATAATTTGAAGGCAGCTAGAAATTCAGAGTGCCAGTCCCACCTCATGTGATCCACCCCATGGCAGTCCCTTCACACACCTGTGTGACGCTCCAGCTCCCTCACCTGCAAATCAAAGGACAGCACCTCCCTTCCCCATGGGCTTGGATTAACTAATACTGACTGCTGGCTTTGGAAACATCATAAAAATGCTATGAAATACAAATATTGCCTTATAAAAAACGCAAGAACAACTCCAATAACACCCAGGCAAGCTGTACCACAGCACATGGACCCTCAATTCAGGCCTGAAGCAAATTCCAGCTACATGGAAGACTTTAAAGTGAGGTCTAATGACTCTAGACCTGGGACTGGGTATATCCTCCCTCTCCCCTGCATGGAACAATATGATGCCCAGTGCTCCAGGGAAGAGAACCAGCTTGTCCTGCCCAGGCTGGCAGACACAGAAGGGATGCCAATGTACAATGCAGTCTGTGTGCTCTGCCTGTCTGTTTATCCTGGCCAGTGCCAGGCAGGAAAGGGCCTGCTGCAAACCTGACCCTCAGGAGTGCACTGGAACATCCCTGTCATTCAGGAGCACGTGGGGAAGAACACACAATGACACACATGGTTTAACTAAATCCTCCTGAACAGGAGTCTTTCCTTTCTCTCCTCAAGGTGTGATGACCAGAACACACGACAGCAGTCTGGCTGTGGCAGTGCCATGACTACTTTCTTTATTCTTCTATCTCACTCCTCAGTGCTGTCCTTGCTTCCTTGTGCTCTCCTGCCTGCATCCATCTCTTACCTCTGAGATTTTAAATTATTTTTATGAAGAAAAATACCAACTTTTCATTCATTCAACAACTGAACTTCAACAATTCCTTCAACAATTAATCTTCCAAGACAAACAGTTAGCCCAGGTGGGGAAAATACCTGCAGGTCAGATTCAATTAGGAAGATTCCTAAAGCAATAACAGCATCCCTGCGACGTTCATCCAGCTGGAAAATCCCATGGAAATCCACTGGACACATACAGAGCAGCTTCTGCACCTGAAAAACAGCGGAGGGAGAGAACAGTGGAACAAGACAAAGTGTCAAAATAAACTGAAGTTTGAAGTGCACAGTGGTCTCTCCATCTTCTGGAAGACAGATGGGCACAGTATCCTCCTTTAGTCATCAGCCTTAACGAGAGCATTCAAGGGTTGGGAAAGGAATGACAGAAACCAGAGAAAGACAGGAAAAGCTCAAGTAGAAGTCAAACATTTCTACCACAACATGTGTTGATTTAAAGGCTTTCTTCAAGACTTGATCAAAGTGCTGAAGTACAGCAAAGCCTTCCTTCACTGGGTATTTTGGATGTGCAAGAAACGCACAGCAGGCAAATGTATCCCATTTACGCAATTCCCATAAATAAAAAACCAGGTGGATGGAGCTTTGGTTACAGTTGCACCAATGCACTGCTCATGCACAGCACTGAACCATTAACTGTTACCAAGATGAGCATGACTTTGGCTCCAATCTTTCAGATTACAGATGAAGTTCTCAGAACTATTATTTTCTCATTACTTATCTAATACTTAACTCCATACTCAGCACACACCCCCCTAAAGAATACATCAAATCCCCCAAACACTTTGTTTTTTCTGTGGAACTGTTAATAAATGGAAAATGCAGCAAGCATATTGTCTTTTCATGAATCTCCTTGATGTTAATGATTACTATCTAAAGAGGACTGTCATAATAAATGCTTGACTCACCTATGTTTGAATGTCAAGTCACTTCCTATTTAGATAACTCTTTGAATACCCCACCTCGACATTTCTGAACCAAGACAAAATTTCCCTAGAGGATTACAAGAAGCTACTGGATGCTCAGTGGAATTTAGGATTCTGGTCCTTCAAACGCCAGATCTCATAATTACAAGACTTGTAAGACAACAACACAAATAAGCCTCTTGCTCAACATAAAACGCTGGAGAGGACAGGACATGTGAACTTTGGAAAATGACTGATGCTCTGAGTGTTCCACGTCAGGTTATACTTGCAATAACATGAGTGAGTAATTTTAGCTAGATATGAACTGTTAATATCATTTAACTCCTACTGTAATCTGTCTAAACTAATAAATAAATAAAGAAAGGAATCCCTGGATATTTAGTGAACCGACAGCAAGGCTTACAGAAATTATTCACTGTTGGCTGTCATAGCAATGGCACGCTGCCAGAACACGAAGTAAGAAATGAAGGCGGTAACAGCCGGCCAGGAACAAGCACCAGAGTTTTCATCAGCACCGAGCAATGCTTTTCAGCTATTTAGTCATGATTATTGCGTGAGGCCATTCAGACGTTCTGTCACTTCTGGCTCGGGGCAGCAAAGCTCCCCCAACACCCGCGTGTCCATCCCTGCTCCACAGCCCAGCACAGCCCAGCATAGCCCAGCACAGCCCAGCACACACCGGCCCGGGCATCGCCGCACACACAGACCCCGGGCCGGCTTTACCTCCAGCCGGGCTGTATCCACCCAGGCACGTTTCACCCGTGGCCTGGATTCGACGGGACACCCGGAGCAAAGCAACCAGTCCTAATTAGGCTGAGACTAATTACGCCCACAAGACCCTGTTCCACAGACTGGGGGGAGGCGCAGCCGCTGAGGATCCGCGTTCCTTGCGGGGGACACGGGGGGGCTGCGCTGACGGCGTTTTTGGGTCAGGATGGCCCACAGGAGCACCCACGGACACCGCCGGTGGGGCAGATCCCACTCCCACAACCACAGAGAGCCCCGCCCGAGGGGAGCGGCATCACCCCGGGGCATCACCCGCCCCCACTCCGACCCGCTGCCCACGGGCCGCGCGGGTCCCCACGCGTGACAGCGCCGAGGGGCCCCGCACAGCCCGCCCCGCACCAACACTCGGCACAGAAGGGCCCCGCAAGGGGCCGACCCTTCCCCGGCGGCCCCTCCCATGACGTGCAAACACACAAACACGGCCCCCCTCTGGCACGACGACCCTCCGACCCCCCCCCACACACGCGGCTTCCACGCGTGACAGCCCCGCAGTCCCACACGCGATACTCCCACACGGCACTCCCGCAGCCCTCGACACACAGTGACAACCCCGCCACCCTCACAGCCGCAGCCCCCCGCCCACACACACACGACACTCCCCTCACGACGCCCCTCACCTTCTCCAGCGGCGCCGGGTTCTGCACCGCCAGCGAGCGCGCCAGCGACAGCACCGTGTTGAAGTAGAAGCCGCGCGCGGTGGCCGCGCCGCCCCCGCGACCCGCGGAGGGCGCCGCGGCGGCCCTGGCCGTGGCGGTCGCGGTGCCGGTCCCGGCCGCCGCCGCCGTGGCCGCCGTGGCCGCAGCCGCCGCTGCCGCCGCCACCGCCGCGGCCGCCATGTTGTGCGGGAGCGCCGCCGGCCCGCGCGCCCCGCCCCCTCCCGCGAGAGCGCCGCCCTCCGCGGGATCGCGAAGAACCAATCACGCCGCCAACATGGCGGCCCCCGCAGCGGCTTCACCATTGCCCGGTGCCCGCACCGCCCCCAGCCCCGCTCTGCAAAGGGGCGCGCCCAGCCCAGCCCTCCCAGCACCCCCCCGCGGCCGCAATGGTCCCGCCCAGCACCGCCCGTCCCCAGCGGCGCTGCGGAGCCATCGCCCCGCCCACGGGGGGGGGCACGCGGTGGTTCCGCCCGGCGCGCGCAGGCGGAAGGAGCGGAGCGGCCCGAGGCGGCGGCTCCGTGAGGGTCGGGGCTCCGTGAGGGTCAGCGGCTCCCCGAGCGCTCCCCGCGGGCGGCAGCGCCATGTCAGCCGTCCCGAGGAGCTACAACCCGTTCGCGGAGGACGATGAGGAGGACGCGGCGGCCGCGGTGGGTGCCGGCGGGGCGGGCGAGGCGGACCGGCAGCGGTACCTGCAGCAGGAGGTGTTGCGCCGCTCCGCCGCCTCGGCCGACAGCACCGCCCGCTCCCTCTCGCTGCTCTACGAGTCCGAGCGCATCGGCGTGGCCGCCTCCGAGGTGGGTCAGGGACGGGAGCGGAGCCTCCGCCCGCAGGGCCCCGGGGCTCCCTCGGCCCTCCGGAACGAGGGGTCTTGTTGTCCCTTTTCCCCCCGACAGTCCCTCTGCAGGGGCAGCCAGTGTTCCGCAGCCTCCCTGTGTTAGTGCCGGCTGGTCTCCTGGGTGATGGTTTGGGTTCTGAACGAAAAATCCCAGTCGCACCCTATCTGTGTAACGCTGAGAATGGGACTGGGCCGTTCCTTCAGCTGCTTTTAACAATTCTTACTGAGCCTTACGAGTGGCGTTTAAGCCTGGTGTTGTCTGACTGAAAGGTTTCCAGCAGTTCTCTCGGTCGGGTGCAGGGCCTGCCCTGTCAGCTGTTTGTGATGTGCTTGGCTTCACCCCGATTAATCATTTCCTTCATTCCTCGGGCCCTGTTTCAGAGCACTTTGTGCTGGGGACGTGGCTCATGAAGCTCCTGTCCATTGTGTCACCTGCTAATGGGCTGCCTTGGGTGTTGTTGCCCAGGTTAACCCCAGAGCAGCCCCGAGCTGCACGAGGTGCTTGTGCTCAGGGGGTTCTCAGTGGGACTGCTGTGAACTTTCAGACTTGTTTGTCCAGAAAAGCAGAAGGGATGAATCAAGAGCTCAGGCTTGACACAGGGCCTGTGGTAAAACTTGAGTTCTGTGTGTTTGCTGCTTTATTGAGGGAGGAAAAAAAGAGCATTCAACTAGAATTTCCCACAGTTTAGCAAGAATATGAACACAAGTTCTTTGTTTTGCATTAGTGGTAGCTGCAGGCAATTTTCCTGCCAGAATAAATCTTTGTGTTACTTCGGAATAATGTTTGTGCCGCTGAATTAGAAAATAATGTACTTCCATATATAAAAATTCCTAAATTCTGCACTGTTAATATGAACTAAAATACTCCTGCAGTCTGAAGAAGTTCTATTTGTGTTTATTTCCTTTCGTTATTCTGTTCCTAAATTATCAGGAACATCCCACTAAGGTGAAAATAGAATCCCTTCCCAGTGAAGGTGCCATTCACAGCTACAAATTGTTGTGCTCACTCATCTCCCTGCCATAAAACCTTCGGGTTTGCACCACATCACCCTTGTGGTGCTGAGCTTGTTCCCTCAGCAAGAGATGCAAATGTCAACCCCCCGAAAGGGCAGCACAGCAAACTCCTGGATGCTGTTTGTAGCAGGAGTCAGGGATCTGGCGTGGCACAGGAAGGAGGATTTTACAGCTGGTTAATGCCATGGCTGAGCAGCAACTCTTGATTGAAATGCCCTGGGGGAAGAGGAGCGAGTGAAAAAGCCTTTGCCTTTAGAAATGATCCACACAGATGAAGAAACCCTTGTTACTTTTTTTTATCACGTCTGTTAAAATGTTTGATGTGTCAGTTCATCTTGGCTTCACGAGCTGCTCTTTCCCTGTGGGTGCCTGGCAGGAGCTGGTCCGGCAGGGAGAGGCTCTGAAGCGCACGGAGCAGATGGTGGATAAAATGGACCAGGACCTGAAGACGAGTCAGAGGCACATCAACAGCATTAAGAGTGTTTGGGGGGGCTTGGTGAACTACTTCAAAGCCAAACCTCCAGAGAGCAAGCCAGAGCAGAATGGAGCCCCTGACTATTATGCTAACAGCAGGTAAGTAAAATAAACGTTTTTCTTGGGCCTTGTCTCCCACAGCGTCTCTGAAATGTCACCAGGATATCAGAACTTAAAAGATCTGTTGATTGTGTCAGGCAAACTCCTGAGATGGTTTCTAGCTCCCTGTTTCCTGTAACACCTAGAAAAAATAGTCATACTTCCATTTGTATTTGTAGGGGTAAGAATAACTTTGCATTTGTGGGAAGTCAATCCAATTACACAAAATTACACGAGTAGTTCATCAGAGCCTTCTGAATTATCAGGCTTGCTTCAGTCTTACCAGGAAATCTTGATGTGCTACCAGTTAAATACTGAGTGTGTTTCCCTCAAAGCTGTAAGTAAAAAAAGAATTCCTGTGAAATGACTGTGTCTTGCAGTATTTGTTTCTCTTCAACTGAGAAACTTCTGTAAAGCCCAATAATGCTGCATAGCTTGATTTCCTCCATCCTCCACTAAAGGAAGGGAATGTGTTGCCTCCAAGACAGAAGATGCAGTTTTGGTTTTGATAGCAATGTTTCCATTTGCTATTTTGAGCACAAAAGCAACCAGTTCTGCTTTCAGTGAACACAAATGCTGATGGGTAATAGTTCATGTAAAAGGAACATTTTGGATCAGGTCTAACAAACTTGCTCTTCTTGTGTAAATGTGATATCTTTTCTTGATTAACAGACTCAGAATGAGGCCTGTGGTCCATACCAGTATTTTCTTTTTCTTCTCTTTTTCACTAGGTTAAAAGAAGCAATGATGTCTAGTAAAGAACAAGAGTCAAAATACCAGGAAAGCCATCCAAATTTAAGGAAGCTGGATAATTCAGGTTTGTTAACTTTATTTTACACTGATTGCCTGTCATCCCTTGGGAGCAAACTTGCAGAGTGATGAGGGCAGAGACCTTCAGCCTGCCCAGCTGCTGACTTACATTGCTACCCAGCATCTGGAGATTTGTATCCCAGCCTTCATGGCTTTGAATCCTAGGGAATTGTTTCCCTAAAGCCCTTTACACCCATGCTGCAGATGTGATTTTTTTTTTTAAATTTGGATACAGATTTTATTTAGCCCTTCCACTGGGGAATTTATTCTATAGCCTGTATAGACTTTAAAAGCAGCCAGTGCTTATATTCTCGTAGGGGAGACACACAATGTGCAGGCAGCCTTGCCCCAGGTTTGCCAAAATGTCAACTTAATGTTGAGGGTCTCCTCTTCACCATCATTTGTCACAGTTGTCAGATGCATTTTCCTCGGTGTCTCAAACGTGGACTGTAACCCTTCCTACTCGAGTCATCACCTGATTCTCACAAGGCAGCGCTTGGGGTTTGGCCTCATTCCCCTTCCCACAGTGCCTTGACTTCTGTGGTGGCTTTTATGTGCCAAGTAACTGTTCCTTTCTCGAGGGGTGGTCGGTTAATTAGCGCAGTGGGAGCGGGAAGGCAGCAGGGTATCCACAGTTGTAGGTGAGTAACGAGAGAAGCGCTTTTGGGCCGTGGGGCTCCGCTCCCCTCCGTGTAATGCCGAGTCTGTCCACGGGAGGGCAGAGCAGCTTCGGGGGCCTCGCCTGGGGCGGCTCCCTGCGGGTACAGGGACCGTCCCACCTCTTTATCCCGCCTGGATGCGAGCTGGGAGCCTGGAATTTCCTTTTTTTTTCTCTCAATTACCTGCTAGAACTAAAAACAGGCAGCTGAAAAGAAGAATTGTAGCTTTATTTGTGCATCCTGAGAGGTGCCCTAGAGACAGTGGTGTTGGACTGCTGCTGATAGCCCTGTGATGGGATTACCTGACAGCTGTGTTCAGGCTAATTTTTAACATCCTCCCTAAAACTTTAAAGCCTCTTCTCACTAGCTTTTTTATTATATAACATTCTGTATTCTATACCCTTAACAGACAATGATTTCAGCAAAGCAGATTTAGTTTCCTCAGTGCAAAGGGATGATTCCTACCCTAAGAACCAACAGCTGCGAGCTTACCACCAGAAAATTGATACCAACTTAGGTGAGTGAGAAAACCGAAGCTGTTTGATGTAATACAATTGTCAATTCTTTATTCCTAAACCAGATAAAAAAAAAAAAAAGGCAGGCTCATCCATCCAGTCTGAAAAATCTTATAAAGCAGGTTTTAGTAGTATCAACAAGAAAACACTGCTTCAGGTTGGCATCCCAATTATACCAGTGGGGATCCTCACTGCTGCTTTTTCTAGAGCTTACCTCTCACATGGAGAGGTGCATTCAACTTACTGAGCTGACAGTTAAACTCAGATATTAAACTGTACATCAGCTTGGACCCAAATAATTTAGAACTCTGCACAGCTTTTGAAATAAACATGTTTTGCTAAAAATAGAAGAATCGAAAGGCACTAAATATTTAATTGGTGAATTTGCCGCATTCCTTTTATTGCTTCCCGAAGCTGTTCAGCTGACTTTGCCTTCCTTTGTTCTGTAACACATGGACAAAGTGCCTCTTTGCTTACACGTGTCACTGTGTAGCTGACCTAGAAAAAAGAGATTGGAAAGAAATCGGGAAGGAATGGATCAGAGAAATAGGCAGAAGAGTTTAGTGGAAGCACATTTGTTCTACTCACAAGCTGTGGAAAACTTCCTTGCTTCAGAAGCATTTATACCAATCAATCATGCAATAAAATAGGCACCTTGTAGCCAAATTAGAAAATCTGGAGATGGGAGGTTTTCATCTATGATGAATAACACTGAAGATTTAAGAAGTATTGACGATACTTCTGCATGAAGTTTAAGGAAAAACAATTGAGGTAGTGAGCAGATTGTGGATGCTGAGCTGAGAAAAGATGTACCTGATTTTCTGTAAAATACATTTAAAAAACAAAAGTGACATTACAGGGTATGTCATTTGATAAAGATCCAGTTTGGTGTTAAGCATTTGAAGTTAACTTGTAATAGCAGAAAGAAGGAAGTGATCCCTTCTGGTAGTGATGCAGTACAACTGTGGACAAACCAGTGCTGCCGCTGCTGCAGAGGAGCACTCAGAGCTGGGAAGCTGTAACTGAGAGTTTCTCACCCAGGAGAAGGGGGAATGCTGGCAGTGGCCATGAGAGCAGGATGTGTCACAGCACGGTGGTTCCCCATGGTCCCTCTGTCCCCTGACAGATGAGATGTCTTCCGGACTGAGCCGTCTGAAGAACCTGGCCCTTGGTCTGCAGACGGAAATCGAGGAGCAGGATGATATGCTGGATCGGCTCACAAGGAAAGTAGAGACACTGGACATCAATATTAAAAACACTGATAAAAGAGTCCGACAACTTTAAAGGATTTTTAGAATTTCTTTTGTCCAGCGTCAGTTCATCCTGGATGTCTCATTTCAACCCATCTCTTAAAAAATCTTGGATGGTGTCTGTTTCTCCTTTTTTCTGATACGTTATTCGTTTTGTTTTCCATAAAATTCCATAGGCTTAATTCAGCACAATACATGAAATTCCTCCTCAGTGTCCATGGGAATAGTGCATGTGGAGTGAAGTCTCTCAGCACTGGGTCAGGATGCCCTGCTCAGTTGTGTAACTGTGTCGTGTGCGTGGAGGAATTTGCACTCCACAGAGCTTCAGTGTCCTTGGCCTGGGAGCTGTGGGGAGAAAAGGAACTGCATTTTTTGCCTCTGTTTTGGGCAGGGGGAACAGAATGTGCTGCTTTGTTCAGAACACATGTTGCTAATTCTGTTTACCTACAGCTATGTTAAATTCTGAAAAAATGCTGATTTCCAGCTGTAAAGATAATTTAAAGTGACTGTTGTGGCATTTCTGGGGCTTAAGGAATGAACTGTTCAGTGGAAGTTGTAAGATATCAAGGGTGTCATGCAGTAATGATAATATCCTGTGTGTGTTCCCCTTCCTAAGATGACTTTTGCCAAATGGTGAATCCAGGAACTGTGTTTTTTATGTTTGGTCACTAAATTCTAATTGCCTTTACAGTCTTTCCAGTAAAGATCTTTAAGGATATCATGATCTGCAAGAAATGTTGACTGACAGTGACCCAAAGAGTTTGGGTAACAAAATCAGGACTTAAATGTATATGTTTTTAAAGATTCTTTTGCAGACATTGTCACCATCTGCTTTTTTGTTTTCTGCTCTTTCTCAGCTTATTCATTTAGGTGGTTATTTGAAAAAATAGCTTCCACTTTAGGAATGGAGAGTTGGTCTGATACTGCCCAAACAGACCACAGAAGGTTGTTTAACATTGATTTCAAATGTTATTAAGGATGGAGCAGATGCTCAGTTTTGCTGGGTGACTGTTAAGAAACTCCATGTGGGTTCACGTCCACCTGCCTTGGCTTAGCAGGTAGGAACAATTCCTGCAAATGAGGAAAAGCTCAGAAACATTTTTGAGTCTTCCAGGTAGAAGTTGAGCCTTTCACTTTATTTTGTTCCTTTATAAGTATCACTGTAGAGCACAAGAATCACAATTCAGCTCCAGCCTGAAGACATAACAAGATCTTGCTGCCTGTCTTGAAAATGTGTGAGTTGTGGTGGTGTGGGGAGGCCCAGGGACCGGTGTCAGTGTTGGAACACTCACGATCACCATGACAATGTGTGGCTACAAAGAGATAAGTTCATTTTTTCTGAGCCAGTGCCACATTATGTTATGAACTCAAGGAAGACCTTGGTGTTTCAAGCTATCAAACTCGTGTCCTTCACGGGCGTGGCATTCCCACCCTGCTCTTTCCTTTCTCAAGGGATTTGTTACCTTGAGCTCACTGGCTGCAAAGTGCACCCAGTTGTTCAGGAGGTAAAAGAGAACTCGAGGCTTTTCTTGTTTTACTGTGTCTTCTGGAAGTTCACTTGCAGAAAAATAAATCACTAAAAAAGCTACACTTTTATTAACATTGTATTATGGGAAAAATACTACTCCTGGCATTCCTAGCAGGGTTGAGTTGTGAATTAGATTTTAAGATGAGCTTCTGTTTCCATTTGTTACTCATGTCATTGATTTCAGTCCCTAAATAAAAATCTGATTTGCAGGGACATAAAACTTCAAGAGCTATTGAATACTTTTAATTGCTTTTTAATTTTTGATTTGTATCATTTATGTTCATTTAGAGCCATTAAATACCTTATTAATATATCATCTTTTTGGGTGTATACCATGATTCATTATCTTACTCTGTTAGAATATTTATTAATTAAATGATTTGATGTATCAAGAGAGACATACATTTATTGATACATTTATTTAGTTGATATATTTATTTAGTAAATTATACAGTTGTTAGTATTCAAAATGTTAAGTACCTCAGTGAAGGAAGATTGAAATTTTGATTATACCTGGTTTAGTTTATTTGACTTTCTCCTTTCAATAAAAAGGGTGAAAAGACATGTATTTTTTCTTATCCCAGTGCTGGTTACAGAAACTCTTGTGTCTTAGAGAAGTATATGAATTCTCTGCAGAACAGAGAGTATAAAAAATTGCATAGCAATTAATAACACTCCTTTTAGTGTGAAATCTGCCATTACCTGTAAGAAACTGTCACAACCCAGTGTCTGCTGAACCAAGACTCTGGCAACGAGGGTGGACACTGAGACTTTCTTGACTAAGTTGTGGCAAATGGAAGAAAAATTATTGCTGGAGGATTTAATTGTGTTATGGGTGGTAAGAAATGGGGAGCTTGAATCCAAGCAAAGACCTTCCTGCCTTTCTGATGTGAGCTACTCCACATTTAGTCTCTGTAATTCCCCAGAGTGAACTCAAGTTTCTGCTCAGATGTTTTGTTGTGTTGGCCTTACGGAATGTTCACTTCAGCCCGGATATCTTTGATGCCTTTAAAAACCCAGGTAGGGAAGGGGAATAGAAAATAAATCCCAATTTCTGCTTTGAGAATGGGGTGATCCCAGCAGACTGGAATGCCAGGATCTCAGCCCTGTGGAAGTTACAGAGATCTAACCCCTCATCTCTTCTAACAATGCCATCACTGCCTCAGTAACTACTCCTGCCTTTGCTTAGGTTTTCCTTTTTGCCTTGTTTAATGGCCTCGTTTTAAAGGATTATTTCCTACATTGGGGAAATAATTGCAGGGGGGGAAAGACTGTGCATGGTTATAAATGAATGTCTGCTACAAACCCAGTTCCCTTCCTCTGCTTCCATGTAGGTGCTTTATGCTGGAAATGAACTTCAGTGGAGCTGACCTGAGGAGACAACACTTTTGTAATAGTGATGATTTTTTTTTTCTCTTGGAATAACTTTCCATCCTGCAGGAAAAGGAAATTTAGAGGAAAATAACCACATGGATTTTGCCTTTCCAGGAAATGCCACTTTGCATGTGTAATGAAGGATTTACTTCAGTAGCTTTTCTTTCTGTTTCCTGAGATGGAGTTTTATTTCTTCTTGGATACTGCTGAAAAACTTAAACTGTGTGGGGTCTAGGAATTTCAGAAGAGATTTAATTTGCACTCACATGCTAACTTGATAAAATAAATGATTTTGCCTGCATATTCCTGTTGGCATGTAAACTGGTGTTCTTGCAGCAAAATAGTTCTGGTTATTTTTATTGGCTCGAGGAGAAGTTTTATAAGGTCAGAAGAAAATGGCAAAAAAGTATTTTAAGTATTCTTTACAAAAGGCAATTTTCTTGCTTCTCAGAAACTTTGCTGCTCAATTTTGAAGAGATTGTAAACACTTGGAACCAACATAACTTCATAACACAGACAAGACTAAAAGCAGCAAGGAGAAGCAGTGGGAATAACCAATATCTGAGGACTCGATTTCCAGGTGTATTCGATTATTAAATTTCCTGAGCATTGAATTAATTATTGTAACAAATGATGTGACTCTGAGTCTGTACTCCAAGGGTCTGTTGCTGTGCTGAGCTGGATTGACCCACGGAAATCCTCGGGACACGAGGGTGTCGGGGGCTCTTTTAGTGTGTGAGATCCATCTGAAGTATTTTGCTGCCCAGTAGCTTTCGTGATATCGTTTGTTAAATGGTGAAATAGGAAATACTTTCCACCCACTCTGCCTTCTGAACCAACAGATTTTTGTAGGCATTTTTACAAGCATAACGTCATATGGAGAATATGTGTTGATTTTTACTTTGAAATATGTAGGACTTAATTTTCAGATCATAGGTAGTGATTGTTTGTGTCTATAGCTTTTTAAAAAAGAGCTTTAATTCTGTGCCACCCAGGTATAACACTTTTTGTACAAGTCAAATTGCATTATCTTTTATTTAAATGCTAAACTGGACTGTAGTTCAGCAGTTTAGGAGATTGAGTGAAGTAAGTGTTGAATGGTAAGATGGTCAATAAAAGGTGCTTATTGTTAACAAAGAGTTTTTGCATTTATTTCCCAAAATTTTTTTATTACAACTTCATTGTCACTCTGAAAAGGGAAAATCAGTAGAAAGACTGTGTGGTTTGGTTTTTTTTAAATTCAGGTAACTTTGGTTTGCTGCAGTTATGCTGAGTTCTTCAACAAATGGGAATTGAGAGCTCTTCCATCTCTGCACTTGAGTGTTGCATATAGAAAAATCAAAATAATGCAAAGAGCACAGTGGGAGATGGTAGAGGACGGAGCAGTGTGGTGGATTCTGGATCTCTGCTAGGAATATTAATTGCTTCCCTGCTCTGCCTGCATGGAGAATCAGTTTCTGAGTCTTAAGAGTATTTCACACACAGCTGTTTGTTTATGGCTGGTCAGGCATTTCAACCCTTCTTGTGTTTTCTCAAGGACTTCAGTGCAGTCCCTGCCTTCCCGGGGAATGAGGGAGGGAAGGGGGGTAAAGGAGGCTCATCGAGGAGGTAAAACCAGGCAGAGCAGGTTGGAATGAAGGACCCCACGTTTCTACTTGTCCCTCTCCCTGCTCCTGAAAACAGGTTTGGCTTTAGGAGGCAGTTCTGTGATTCTCATTTCGTTTTAGTAGGAGGGTTTGTTTGCTTCCAAATAAATTTATTACATATTCCTGAAACAGAAAAATATGAAGAACAGCTCCACTGGGACCAGAACTGAAGGCTTGGGAAGGCTCAGTTGGAAGCAAGCAGGGAGGTGCCCCCAGAATAAACGGGCTGCCAAAGCAGGAATGCCAGGCAGGGTTTTCTAAATACAGTGACTGTGGAGCCCTGCCTCCACTGCAGAGTCTACATGGACTGTGACTGCTGTGGGTGAGGCAGAACCTTCTAGAAAATGGGCTTCCAGCTTTAGCTGTGGATATTTTGTGAAAAACAATGGGCTTCCTTGGCATCTTCATTCTCCATGACCCTCCTTTCCCCTCCCATTATCTGTCAGTCTGCTCTCTGTTGATGGCCAGCACTCCTGTGCCCGCAGGGAGCTCTGCCCACCAGTCAAGGCTCTGAAGAGCTGCTGGATTTCTGTCACTTGGAAGAAGAAGCCTTGTCCCAGCCCTGTGTGTCTCAGCCTCCCAGGGTCAGGGAGGGCAGCAGGGGTATGTAGGGAGTGTGCCACCAGGGCATTAACCCTGCAGTGGAGGAAGAAAATACAGTTTGGGATGTGTACATCAGGTGCTGGCAGCCCTGGAGTGGGAGCCACTGCCCAGAAGAGTTTATCATTTCAGATCAAACATGTAATTGCAGTTGGAAAGAATGCCACAGTTTAGTTATCTTCCTTCATTTTTACTCCACAGCTTTTCTTCAGGACACCCTCATCAGTGCATTCATTTCACCAGTTCTGAGTTCGAGTTATGTAGGTACTAAAATCTGACCTGTTTGCCCTAAGATCTGAGCCCCAGATTTCTCTGAGAATTTCTGTGCAACCCCAGTGTTTGTTTGCATGCAATGTTTGTTGACTAGATGGTGCTGTCTGCATGCCTTTGAAGGAAAATTCCTATGGGAATATTGCCTTGTGTGAAGCAACTGCAAAGGCTGGTGGTGCAGTCTGCTCTTGGCTTCCAGTAAGGTCCACGGTGATGCACTAAGGCAGGTCTTGATAGTCTAAGCTTTATTACCCTATTTTCACCATTGCCTTGTGCCTGCATTGGCCAATCTGTTTACATCTGTGCCCACTGAGCCTCTTGGAGAATGATACAGGATGTTCCTTCCCTCTCTGAGTGATGTCTAGGCAGAGAGGCAGCCAAGAAATCCGGCAGTCCGATATAAATAGGTTACAAAATTGTCGTGTAAGAAAGCAAAGGTTAAAACCCGATTGCATCCACCTGCCCACAGACAAAGCTTTGCAAGGGAAGGACAGTGTCAGCCTCTGTTTTTCCTCCTGGAATAATGCATGCAGGATGACCAGGACTGAATTCCCAGGACTTGTTACTAGTAATTTGACTTTTGTGAAAAGCCAAGAACTGTTAAAAGGCAGGATTTTGCTGGAGACTGAGATAATTCCCGATTCAAAGTTCTGCAGCCTCCTTCTGCCTGCCCTGAAAATATTTAGGCTGCAAACAGCACTGCAGAGGAGACCTGTGAGTCATTTTATCTGCTTCATCGTGCATTGTTGTGTTCTAGGCTGGTGACATTTCTGGCATTTATTTTTGCTCCTCAAGCTGCAGTAACACAGCATGGAGAGGAACCAGCAGTGTTTGTGGGTGCCTTTGGGATCCTCCCCACGGGTGCTCAGAATGCAAGGCAGGCACAGTCAGTGAGGATGCAGAGCCTGTTCTGCTGTGGCCGGTCTGTCACTGCCCCCCGTGCAGGTGTGAGTGGCACAGGTGGGAAACACTGATCAGTACACCCTGTACTGTGATAGGGAGAGGGGTGTTCTTTCCTCAGTGACACAGTTGCAATAATCCAGTGATGGGTTAATTTTTGTTGGTGTGTGTTTAGCAAGATCTGATGACCTAAAACTGAACTGCAGCATTAAGCAAAATGCAGGTGAGGAAACAAGCTCGTGAGGGGCCTCTTTCTGAGGCACCAACCTTGTTAAGCTACAGAATGATGCTCGTGTGCCACAAACTGACAGCTGTGACACAGCAAAAGCAGCCTGGTTCTCAAGACATAAAAATGGCCTTCTGGATACAGAAGTGCTTTAGCAGGTCTGATTTGTCACTCTCCTAATTAGAGGGAAGAGTCTTCCAAGTTGAGCAAAAATATCATAGGGAACCTTTGTGCTGAATTGCAGCAGAAAATACAAAACAAAGGTCCCTCTGCATTTTATGCACACACCTCCTCTGAATGCTCACTTGCATCAGTCAGAGGAATATCCTCCCATTACAGCACTGTTTCCAGAAGTCCATATAATGGTTTAGTCCTGCTCATCTATTTGACTTTTCATCACTGACTTCTCAAAGTTTTTAATTTCCTTAGCCATATCCCTCAGAAATTTCCCATGCCATCCAAGCAATACATTCATTATTGAAACTTGTGTGATTTAATAATTTCCTGGCACAATAATTCCAAAACATGTGGGAGGAAAAATGGAGAAGGATTTTTCCAGCTCCAGGTGTTTATTTTACCACCTGAATCCTTGCTCTTGACCCTTTTGAGTGGCTTTTTGTTGAACTGCATTTCAACTACTTGCCTGAGACAGACCTTCGTCCTTGCAGCTGAAGGTGGAGGCGTGGAAGCTCATTCTTAGGAGTCTGATGTACCTGCTCTAGCATTTCTAGCTTTGAATTTCTGGAGCTGTTTTCTTTTCCACAATCTCCATAAGCTAAACAAACACTCTTTTCAATGGCCTGCTTTACTAATCAGTGTTTGAGATGCAATATTGAGGCCTTTACTCCCCACTCGAGCCAACTGTGCAGCGTGCTGGGTTTGCCATGGCAGCCTGCCAGGAGCCTGAGGGCTTCACCTGTGCCCAGGAGAGGTGAGACAAAGAGCACAACCAGAGCAGCTCCTCTGTGGGACACAGCAGCGCATTGCTGGCTCCCAGGTATCACTGGACACCAGCAGCTACTGGCAATGACTGAGCAGTGGGGTCTGGGTGCATTAGAAGGTAAGAAGCTGGAGCCTTAATTCAAGAATGTACTTACGAAATAGGTGCATATTTGTGTTGAGCAGCACATTAAAACCATTAAGCTCCCTTATATATTTGCACTTGGGCACATGTAGATGCATTGCTGAGTCAGCCTGGCTGTGTTAATGATCTCAGCAGATCTCCAGGGAATGTCTCTGCTTTTCCAGGTGTCTCAAGTGTCAGGGCTATGAAGCCGATTCCTGTAAGAACAATTTTCTCTTGGTATTTGAGAGAATCATTAATTCTGACTTACTCTTCCTTGCTAAATAATGGCATTTGAAAACATTTGAAGAGACATTTGTTAAGCCTCTACAACCTTGTTACGTACCTGCCCGAAAGTACACAAAATGAGCAGTCAGGGAGAGAACCTCTGACGAGTCTCCCTGCTCTGTTGTTCCACTGCTCAGTCATCTGTGGGCCACACAGTATAACATAATGTAGATTTATTTTAACTCTCATCAACTGCTCTGCTGTTTTAGTACCTCTGCCTGGAGTACGGAGTGACTGGAAGATTGCCAAGTCAAGGGAAGTCTGCGTGTGAACAGCCGGGAGGGATAATACGTAAATCTGGTGGAAAGAGGCAATTAAAGGCAGTGCTGAGATAGAATGAAAAATAGACAATATTGAGCCTCATCAGAAATAGCAACATAAACAGCCACTTACTGTACAGTGGAGGGAACTTTGCTGTAAATAACTGCATTTTACAGAAAACAGATGGATTATGAAATCTGTGAGCAGACTTACAGAAAGCAGTTTGGTCTTCAGGAACATGTCCATGTTGATGTCTGCCAGGTCCTCCTGGCACAAGGGGACAAAGGGTGGCTTCTCCCTGCTGTTGTATTTACAGAATCTAGAGGGGAGCTGCAAAGTTGGATTGCACACAAGGCAAACAGCGCTGAAAATAATTCTGCATGTCATATGTAACTATGAATGGAGATGACAGAGGAAGTGACATCTGAGATCAGCAGTGTAATAAATGGTATCTTGTTGCTTTGTAACCCAGGGGGTGACACACAGTGAACACATCTGACTGTCCAGAGGGACCATGTCTGTAGCTTACCAGGATCTTGGTACCACCAGCAAATCCAACTGCATCATCTTTTGACATGAGTGGGTGGACTGGGAAGGGACAGACCATTCCAAAATGTTTAACTCGATATTACAAATGAGGATGGGTTCCAGCTGGGTTTTAATCCTATGGCCTGTATTTGACCGTTCTTGTTTTGGAATAACTGATCAAAAAGCTCAACAGTTTCCTGTATTCTACCATTTTTCCAGCTATTTCACTGGCTTTGTGAATGAGTAAAGTCAGACACAGCCCAGACACAGCAAATCAAGCTCCTGTTTGCAGACACAAACTTGGCAATATGCATTAACTGAACATAGTTCTTGCATCAGGCAACACATCATGTGC